TCCCATCTGCCCTTCTTATTTCCCAAAGATGCTACAGGAAGAACTCATTCAACAGATATTTATCAAGTGCCTACTATGAGTCACAGGTACAACTATGCTTTGGAATATGTAACAGAGAGTATGAATATGACATAAATTCAATCAAAAATTCCCATAATAAATTTATTAAGTGTTATGCCTCCATGCTCCCGGACTCTGTAGCCATCCTTTACAAGTAAGATTTCTATAAGCAAAATGTGAAATTTAAACTCTAATTGGGATCTGAAAGTCTTCAAGGTAATCAAAATTCCTTGACCTTTCCAGCTCCTGTGAGTGAGTGGGTATTTATATTCAAAGAAAGAGCCAGAGAGAGGAGAGACAAGTTCTGGGCTTTGAAAGTGACCACATATTCTGGGGTGCCAATACAAAAAAAAATGTTTAGGTTTTTGTCAGTTAGGTCCCCACAAATTAGAATCAGAGTGCCAGATGCTTTAACAACTGGAGGTGCATTTTGCACCAAAAAGAAGTAAGAGCCAGATCTTTAAAGACCCAACATCCAACCCAAGCACAGTAGTGGGAGTTCCAGAAGCCAAAGGGCAACCTGGACGAGTATGGTGTTTTGAGTCACCTGAAGTGTGGTGCTCACTCTGATGCCATGCTTTTCTTATCCATGGGGTTGGTCCATACCTGGGAGCCACTGGAAGGAGATTAATAAACTATGACTATAAAAGTTACACAATGCCTGGGAAAATAAGTAAAAAATCTTGGCATCCTGGATAAGGCAAGGAAAGATGCTACTTAAAAATAACAGATAGTGATGATGGCAGGTACAGAGGGCATTTGGGAGAAGCTGAGTTTCCACTTAGCTTTTCTAAAATTGGTCTTGGTAACTTTACTGAAAATAAAATCACTAATGTGTCTCCAGCAGGTACAACTTAGTCTTTGGTCTGAATCATTTCTCAGAGCTCACCAGCAGCCTGTATCATGGGAAATACTTCTTGTCTGCTTGTGTGCCCACTTCTTGGTTTGAAAGGTTTCCTAACGCATTACTGGGACTTCTCTGAATGTTGTACTTGAACATATTCAATTACTAAGGTCATTCTGGGGGGTTATAGGTCATGAACTATTAACTGCTCCTTTTTTGGGTGGGGGTCTAGTTTGTTGGTCTGACACACCCCACTGAATTCTCTACATATTCTCCATATTTCCTTCCCCTTATCACATGCATTTTCAATTCCTGAAGAGATGTGCATGTATGACTATTCTCACTTTCTTGAGTCCTCATTTTTTTAATGGTTCCCTTAACTGCAATCAATTGATATTTGGGGGGGGGTATAACTCATTCTCAGATGCCATTGTCTTGAAATAAAAAAGTATCCTAAGAAGTGAACACTCTCATTTTCTGCTATGTAAACCATAAGGAAAACTTGTCTCAAAAGTCTATCATTTGATGTACAACACTGACGGGCACTGGATCAGCCATGTTTTAAGCTGGGTAGTCTTTTTCTACACTGGATACTCTGAGGACAGTATTCCTCAGAGCACAGATGCTACTTGAAAAGAAGAAGAAAAAAGATTCAATGATCAACTCAGTCTGGGAAATCCTGGGTTAAATAAAACTGGAGAACTTATTTTCTTATATGACTTTATGGATCCTTTGATCTCTTAATTGCACCAAGACTTTCCAAGATTATGTTATAATATACAGCACTTTCCCCAAATTCTTTGTCCATTGATTCTTTGTTTCAGACCTTCCTCATGGGACTAATGTTCTAAAAGTTACTTTGGGAAAGGCTAGTCTAGACTTATAACCCTTGGATTCAGTTTCTCCCAAGGAGAAAGCAAAATCATAGTAAAAGAGAGAGGGTCAGAGAAGAAGTGGAAAAAGAATCTAACTCTGCAAGTACCTGGCAATACTTAAATTGAGTTTCCAAAGGAAAAAAATGAGTTTCTCTGGGAAAGTAGCAAAGTAGCTGATTTTTTTTTTCTTCTTCATTTTCATGTGCTCTGATCTCTTAATAAAGCTCAAAAGTTAATGTCAACATTCAGAGCTCCTGTTCTACAAGGTATAGGTGGTCAACGCTCATGGCCACAGGAAAGTTAGGGCAAAAAGATTGGGAAGGGAATCAGGAATCCCTCAAAGAGACCTTTCCCCTTTAAGTCGGTTGATTTAATAGGGGTGCATCATGAACACTTATTTCAAATCTCATCCAAATCAATCCATTACTCATCCTCTAACGTTGCTACATACTGATATAAAGCTGTCACTATCTCCTAAGAAGTAGCTCCACTCCATACATGTTAGTATATATGCTTATACAATTATGTGTCGCTTTTGTAATCAACTGGGAAAGACTTCCCAGCCTTTCAATGACTGGGACGTAGATTTACAACAATGCACAAATTGATACATGAGTTGGCGAACATGAATCTCCATACCCCATACGGGGGGATGCATCATCGTCCAAGAGCAGGAATACCTGGTCAGAAAGGTTAACCAGCCCGGGGAGGTCTCGCCAGCTCCATCTCTGGAGTCAGCCTCCTCCTGTAAGGGCTCCCAACTTGTCTCCTCCTCTGACGGAAAAAATACACCACGGGAGTACTACGGCCTTGCTGACTCCAATTTAAAGTCACAAAGGCTACCCTTCTGATGAATGATATTTCACTTTCACAGTGAACCTCATTGCAGTTCCTAAGTCATGGGCCCCCTAATTAAGTTAAAACTACCTGTATCTGTCTTGTTCGGACTGACATTATCCTGAACAGAAATGAATGAGACATCAGATTTTTGCTCTAAACCAGACAGCAAACTCCTTGAATATAAGGATATTGAATATAAGGATATAATGAATATTATCCATTGTTCCCTTACCCAAGCCCAGTAAAGTAAAGACCATCATGGGATAGGTGCTCCAAGCCTCGGATGAATGAGCAAAGGACCCCCAGCTCTTGAGGGCTTCCTCCTCTCAGTGGATTTTTCCTCTGAGGAAGAGGATGACACTCTCTGCCTCTATGTTAATGGGCTGCTTACAGTACTTACTGAGATGGAGAATGTGAAAGTGGAAGGTCATCAGTATCTTCCTAATAATTGGCAATGTACAAGAGGTCCTAACCATGTATGTTAGCCAGATATTTCTCAAGGAATGCTAACTCTTCTGTGGAGGGCACCACACCTGAGCAATTTGATCTCTGTCTTATAACAACTGCTAGTGTCTGTTGACAAACAGAAGTCAACCAAACAGGAAAGTACTCTAGTTTAAAGATTAAAGCACTCTAGAAAAGTATCTGGAGGCTATCTTTTATAAAAAATAAAAATATAGCATTCACAAGGCAGATAAACTTGAATTGGTACTGTGTTTCTAGCACGACACATTAGCGTGTGTGTCTCAGTGATGAAACAAGACTGGTTTCTCAGCAGATGCTTGTGTGACCCACTCCCCCAGTTTGGGTCCAAATCCTTTTTTCCATTGCTATAGTGTTCTCTGTTCCTGTTTCTCTGGGGGAAAGTCCAGGGTGGTCTCTAGTACCAATAAAACCTTACACTCATTTCCCAAGGCAGAAGGTCAAGGAGCAAAGGGCAGGGATCAAGAATGAGAATGAACTAGCAGGATGCCAGGTACACTGGTGTAGATGAATGTGGGAAAGTGGTGATGGCTGTGAGGGATGATAACTGACTAAATAAAACCAAATCAAACCAAAACCAGACATTCAAGATGATGACATAAAATCAATCTCACTTTTCATTTTGCTGATCTCCAAACTGAGAACCCTTTTTGAGAGTTAATGACATAAACCGGTGCGTTTCTGCACTTAGCTTCACAAACTAAGATGTCCTGTGTGAACATCCTTTCCAGGGTTGAGGTCTCTGAGGGCAAATGTTTCCCAGGACAAGGACAGGGCCAAGTTGGGGGTGAGGATCGCTCTGATTGGAGCTACCTTACTGCACAGCTCCAGCGGGTATGTCTTATCTTGTGAACTATATAAATAGCACCCTCTGGAATTGTACCACTTACTAGTAAAATTCTTGGGAGACTTGGAATCAACTTATCCTATAGGATGCTAGCAACATGAGGTAAAAAGGAAGCAGCATTATCTGAAAAAATTTTAGGAGTTCAATAAGCACCCCTTCCTCTAATAAATAGTGAAACCCCTCCTCACACAGGTAATTAAAAAAATCTCACGCTTCACTATTTAGAAATATATAACAAAGGCATTCAGATGATTTCATTCCATTACCTATAACCACCTCTCTTGAAATTTATTGTATAAGTTACTCAACTTTTTTAAAAGGTCACAGAATGATAAAAGAGGAAACACTATTAATATTGACTATGATATCTTGCTAATTTACATTTAATTTCATAATTTCCATAAAATTTACCCTCAAGAATTTTAATGCAAAACATGTAAACAGTTTTTGCATTTGGTGAGTGAAGGTGAATATCACTGAAAACTGCCGGAGAACTGTGTTTTTGTCAATCCATCTCTTCACTTCTTTACGTAGGTAAGCGAGAAAATAAGAGTCCAAATCAAATAAACCAGACTCCTTGACTTCACTGGCTAAAATGCAAGCAAAACTGATCTCTTTTCATGTAGTTTTACCTCACTTTTAATTTGCATCACTAAGGGATTTTCTAGGACAGTGCTCAGCAAACTCACAGCTTCTCTGATTGCCAAGCTCATGGAAACAAAGTGCTTTCTCTAAAAACTCTGAAAACAACATTCCAAAGTAACCCACCATTAGATACTGTGCCAGCAATAGACTACATATCTATGAAAAAGAAAGGAGAGGAGGAAAGAAAATGCATAACATAAACAAGAACAGACAAAACCTTAAAGAGGAAGGAGAAAGGAAAACATTTAGATTCCTTGAGTGATGGAAATAAATACCAAAGCTATTAGTTTCAGTTCAAAGAACATATCACTTTATGCTGTTTATTATTTCTTGAGGATTATTTATTTTATCTTAAAATATCCAAAGGGGGAAAGGGGTCGAAGAGGTAAGCAGCAGTGGAGCTGACCTGGTCAGGAGAGGGCCTGTGATTGGAGTGCTGCGACCTCCCGGGAGAGCGGTGGTGGTGGTGGTGGTGGTGGTGGTGGCGGTGGTCCTCCTCATAGCTGTCCGCCAGCAGCTTCATCCTGTTCTGGGTCTGCAGGGAACACAAACCAGGGGAGAGTCCATCAGGAACTAGAAGGCCAGCCACAGGAGGCCAGGGCGTCCTCACAACACCTACAGGGCTCCCGTCATTCTTTTTTCAGCAACAGAGAGTTTCACTTTTAGTGCAGCGGAAACCTAACAAAGAATGCACCATTCCATTCGCTTTGGTGACAGAGGTTCTGTCACATCACTGAATCCACTATGTTGTCGGACAGACATTCATAGACATAAGTGTACTTCCCCCACGTGATTTAAAAAGCAATAAATGGACACATTCTAAAGTGCTTTGTGTTATCAAGCGATCACACAGATCCATGGTAAACTTACTACCAACCATCACATCCTACACTCTAGAGCATGCAAGAGAAGGAAGCCCTGGATGAAAAGATGGGAAAGACCTCGATGGAAAGAACTACAGACAACAGTCGTCCTGCAAGACAGGGCAGAGAAACCCACGAAAAGGCTGCCAAGCGCAAAAACACTGATGGGGCTGGGTTGTCGCTAGGATGACTTCTAGGGCAATGGCTCTTTATGGACACTTTAACGAATACCGTTCTTTAGGGAAATGAATGCAAAGAAAGCAAAGCTGATGGAGAAGAGTTAACCACTCTAATTTTACTCCTTGATATGTTTGTCACATGAGGCAACTAAGTGTCAGAGTTAAACTCCAAGGGCTACAGAACTATATGGTTTTATTATGCAGGGCAAGAAAGAGACCAATGATCAATCGCGCTAACAAGGGTCACAGAATCCACAAAACTGCCTGAAGTCCACAGAGAAAGGCAGATAAAAATATCCAGCTCAGAAAGCTGGGAAATGCAGAGACTCCAAGTGTGGGCTTGGAGATAAGGCCATCTGGGTTCAACCACCTCTTCACATGGTCTTTTGAGAGTTAACTATTTCTATGCCCCAATTTCCTCAGCTTTCAAATGGGAGGAATAGAACCCCTTTCCTGGGGTTGTTGTGAGGAAAAAGTATTGTGAAGAGAGTGGATTTCAAGTCAGTCCAGGATCTGGTACATAATGGGCTTGAAATAAAAGTCATGCTATTACTATTGTCATTGTTTACTGGAAGACACTTCTCCCTCTGAATACATGTTGTTTCCTCTGTCTGTGACAGCTGCCCCAGCCACCTTTCGCTGCCTCTAGTTTCTGTGTCAGGCTAATACACAGCCTTTTCCTGACCCCACCCTTGAGATGAGGTGACATGTACCTCCTGCTTACCACACCTCTCTAACCACGGATTCGTCGTCCATTTGTCAGTAAACTTGAGGCTGCTTCTTTCATCAATCTCTCTCCAGCATCTAACACAGGGCCAAGTAGATACAGATAACATTATACATGTTGCTATAACAAGTGACTCAAAGAAAGAAGAGGCCATAATTTTGAGGGCCACTGTCATTCTAGAGGTGAGCAACCCAATTGTCTTCAGCCAGGGAAGGTCACTAAGAATTGAGGACACCTCATGAGTTGCCAATAACAACCCCACTGGCGGCTCATGACAATGAGCCATCAACACTTTAAGAGAGCTGAAAGTCAGAGTCTGGCAGAGCATCCAGACAGTTGGAATTTTAGTATGTAACATAAACAATACTCGGATAACAATTCTAAACCTGGCAGTCTATTCTTGCAGTGTTCTTCATGTATGATCTAATTTATCCTCAAAACTTTCCTGGGGGGAATTATTACTATCCTCATTTATAGCTGGAAAATCAAGGCATAGATTTTCAGTCTCTATCTTGACATAGAAAATGGAGATATTCTGGACCTTCCAATTCTCAATCTTGAGGCCTTTCTCTTTGTCATGTTGCTAGCAAAAAAAGGCAAACAGCTGAATAGATAGAAATAGCTTTCTCATAAATGCTTTGGTTCTGTTAAGTTTTGGAAATTGACTTCACATTCCAATTCTATAGGACAGAGGATGTCTCATGATTTACCCACTCCAGTTTTTAAAATGTGTACAATATTTGAAAGGCCCCAGAGTGGACATTTAAAAAAAAAAAAAGCACATATATGGATAAAGACAATAAAAGTAGAGGGGAAGAGCCACCTAAAAAAAAAAAAAAAATCCCAGGCAACCTCTGGCAGCTGATAGCATTTCCAGCCTTCACGTGTCCACTTAAAGTGTCAGAAGACCCAATGGACACGTTATATGTTGTGAGAAAGAGCAGCTCAGTAGAGCTGTTGCCGACCAAATGCTGAGATTCCCCTACCGGCCTGTACTCGTGCATGAGATTGTGAAATGCCGTGTTCACACCTAAAATTCCAGTATCGTCAGGAGCCTGCAGTTTTGAACTCACGATCTAATAAATCTGGAATTGTTTCTTCTAAAAGAATTCCGAAAGTCTGAAGGGAGTTGTAAGATCTGCTATGGTCAAGAAGAAAGGGACTCACACAAGAATGAGTGATGAAGCCTAAATGAACAAATAATAACCCTGCTATTGTAAACATCATAATGTCCTTATCCTTTGGGGAAGCTCCTGTGATTTTATGAGATTATTTTCTTACCAGTGACAAGCTTAAAGTTCCCTACCTTTGAACTGTATCCCATAAAAGAATGTACAAGCTAAACAAGATGCTATATGCGGTCCTAAATGTGTCTGCTGAAATGAGGTGTTGGAGAATAGGCATGTCATGGGATAAAGACTGTAAATGAATGATGTCATCTTTCCAATTTGGTGCTGAAATATAAATAAACCACGTTGTTCATGTGAATACCAGATCTGGGGGAAATGTACACACAGCAATTGTGAGCGGAAGAGGCTTCTTTTGATTAGTCTGGGCTGCAAGAGAAGAGTGTGAAATGGAGATGAAAAATGAGAGTTTAGCCTGATACTTTAGACCATTTTTATTTATCTAGCTTGTAGCATATCCCCTAAACTGTGACCGATTGCTTACAGGCTGGTTTCTAGTTTTCCCTTCCGTAAAAATGTTTGACTGATTCTGCTCACTTAATTATCAAATTAGAAATGGAGCTCTTAATTTTTTTTCAATCTACGCTACCTATCCTTATCTCCACTCAATTATATTGGTTTCCTAACATGCCAAGAATGGTCTATAAGGATAGGAAGCTATGAATAACACTCCCTAAAGTGGATGGAAGCAAAATTGAAGAAAAATTTTAAGGATTGGAACAAGGATAATACTTGCTCAAATAATTTCAAACATGTTCATTAGGTGATTCCATGTGTAACAGTTCATATCTCTGGAGCCATCAGATATACAACGTGCCCACCACAAAGCCTTAGACAGCACATCTTCCGGACAATCAAAAGTGAAATCCCAGGAAAGCTAATACAGAGTTGGAGCGAGAGAGCTGTCCATGGCACTGCTCTTGGGAACTTATGGCCTCATTTAGTAATTCACGAAAGCCCGTTTTTATTTCCTTTTCAGAGTTTACCAAACTGCTGACCTGACACGTTCACCTTTGGCTGTGTTATATTCGTTTTATTATATTATGTCATGACTGCTGAGACAAATCTAATCAGATTTCATTTTCTACTTCCTCTCTCTTCCAGACACCACCTTATTTCTCTGGGGCAATAGGCTCCTAACAGCTTTCCTGCTGCACTCTTGCCTCCGGTCGAACACGATCTGTAGTCAGAGTGACATCAGACCTCTGTTACTACCTGGCTTCAGATTCCCAGAGACTCCACACTGTCCCCAGGAAAGAGCCCCGTCTCCTGCACAGCTTACGAAACTCGTGTGAGGTGACTGCTCTTCCCCTCCCAGAATCCCAGCGTCCCCTCCCCGGCCCTGCGGCATGCTGTCCTCTGCCCCGTCGTGCCTTTTATTCTCTTCTTCTGCCGCGGCTATACCCATTAGCTCTTCTAGTCTTAGCTTCGACATTATCACCTCCAGACCACCTTCTTTAAGTCCACCTCGGAAGGGATTAAGTGCCCTTCTACTGCCTTCCCCAGAATTCTACTGCTTCCATCACAGCACTTATCTCTATGAATGGTAAATAACTGCATTCTTTCTTGGCTTTCTCTGCCACTAGGTTGAAATTCTCTTGAGGGAAAGTGCTAGGTGCGAATTACCCTTGGATTCATCACCTAGCACAGTCTGATATATAATAAGTAAATTATGTTGAATAAATGTGACAAGTGTATGAAGGAATGAATGGAAAGGATACTGGCTATTTGGAAAAGATAAAAAGAAAAAATACAGAATTAGCATCTATGATGAATCAGTTGAATATGTAACTCTCATGTGATAGTTTAACCTTCCCCACCATGCCTTTGTTTTCGGTTGTTATTATTCTTGGACATGAGAGAGCAGGATAAACGTATAGTTCTGGAACTGTTACAAAAGTCAAGTTGTTCTTGTTTGAGAAATATTTTGTTCTTGAATAAAATGGACCTACTGAAATACTTCATGTCTTTGGGTAGTTACATCATTAAGAATAAAAAGAGTGGGGGTGTCATGAGGTTCATTTCCTTACTATATTCTAGCCTTTGGAAGAGCAGGAATCTTTAAATACTTCCATTAGCACCAAAAGTCAACCATGGAAAACTGAAACTGTATCTATTAACTAAGGTCCTTGATGAACACCATCTGTGAAAAGGTGCCATAGACTCCACCACTCTTGACATTTCTGAAGAGTTTATCCAAGGAGCTCTTGAAACAAAATGAAAATCCTTGATTGACTAGTAATAGACTCAATAGCTTAATAGCAATATGTAGCTATAAAAGTGTAATATTAAAACTGCCTTTAAAAATATTTTAGCAAGGTGGCAATAACGAACTATGCTTTGATCAGTCATCTGGATCAACTTAACAATAAAACCTTCATGAATATGGTTTAAATAAGAAAAAAATATATAACAAATTTGTTGCTATGGGATTTGGAGATAATACCATACTAGCAATTATACTTTCTCCTCTCAGGTTTTCTTTTCTGCCTCTTTCCTACCAGGGAAATCCAAAATAGCCCAGAACTCTTCAATAGGCCTTCTTTCTGTGAAATCAGAGCAAGGTCAATAGTTCTTGT